CAAAACCATTATACCCTGATTTCCCATTTTCAATGGGTTCAGGGTATAATTAAATCAGTTATAAGAATTATAAATTTTATATACAATTAATATTTTGATTTATTTTTAATTTATTTTTATACCTAGAAATTTAATAATATCATATACCATATATAATAAACCAAAGTCCCATTATGAAAATTACATTGCTCTTGCTCTTTTGCATACTATTTGCACTATGTTTTTCTGCAAGTGCATCAACACACATACATAAATAGCTTCTATATATGTATGTATATAATGTAGTTTTTTTATTTTAAACAGGTTATCGCCGTGGAACAGCATCGGCATAGACCACAAGGCACTTACAGTATAATAATTTCTGAGTATTTATTGGATTAATGCAACGATGTCACTTAAGGTCCCACTCAGCAACAGGGTACAACCACCCCCCTCCCCCACCCCCTCGCCAAACCGACCGGCCCCCTTTCTGCGCGTAGCGCCTACCGCCCCCTAGTCGAGTAATAATTGACGAGCCGACCTGCAGTATAAACAGGCACATATACACACACATGTACATACATATACATATACCCAGTGTAATTATATGCGAGGTTCTTTTTTATTATTTTTTAAATGTGTGTGTTTTTTTTTGTGATTTTCTTAGGCAAACAATTGATTTATTTGCATGTCAGTAGAACCTGTTCTGTAGAGCTCACAGCCGACGATCCCAGCGCAGCCCCTTTCCGAATATAAATTTTTGCGATTCACTTAAAATGCAGGGGCGTGGCGTGCTGCGGGGCCATGGGAGGTGCGTGGGAGGGGCGCGGTAGTATACACATAGTAGCTGAACAAATTGCCTGAGCTCTGTGGTGGGCGGTAGTAGACTTCTAAATGAAGCTTGATAGAATTCGCTGGAAAAGTCTGGGTAAACAAGATCACAAAAGTAATTCTGAAATATATCGCAACGGGAGAATTTAATTATGTATTTCATTTATTGTTATTACTGCCTACTAATGGTGCACTTGCTGGACGGGGCACCGAGCTAAACCAATTAAATGCTGACGCTATGTATAACTAAATGCGCTCGGCTTCAATTATCCATAATAGTCCTCCAGCTTTGCATATATGTATGTGCATATGTATGATTGTGTGTGGATCTGGGCGCACTTTAGCAGATTAGATAACTAATGCCATACATATATTGGCATATGCTGATTTGTATACATATCATCGTAGACGTTGTGCTGAAAGGTCAATTGAAAAACACAACACAACGCATCGACGGGACTTTCCAAATGACGTACCGGGAATTTTTCAATTTAAATTTAATCAGAGCTGATCATTTGGGGGGCAGGTGGACAGCGCATCCAATTATTGCCGTTTATTGCTGTTGTTATGCATAATGTAATCAAAAGAAAGAAAGTATGCACAATGAACTTGCTAATCAGATTTGCTCTAGAAATTTCCTTCTTTATGCAGCTGAGCTGATCAAATAAACAGTACATTGCCAAATTTGAATTGCCCGCGCAATGGCAGCACTGAGTGCGCTAGCAGCACCAAATATGATAGCGCCACCTGGCGGTACTGTGCACGACTCGAGTGGCATACGCAACTGTAATCCGGTCACACATGTCAATTGTCAAAACTGATGTAGCTGGTCACACTGAACTTTTGCCTCGAAACAAATGACACGTCAAGTGAATTGGTTATTGGGAGACAAACAGTGAAATAAATCGGCAATAAATTACACAATTCAATAACAAATTCCGTATAGAAATCGTGGACAGCGTTGCCGCTTAGTTTGGTGCAAAGATGACCCAAGTGCCGTGTTACACGATCATCAACTCGCCGGACCTCGAGGTGCCGAACGAGATGCAGCTGAAGCAAGACCTCGAAAAAGGCGACACGAATGTGAAAATTGAGACGCTGAAGAAGGTGATCAAGCTAATGCTAAATGGCGAACGCTATCCCGGCCTCATCATGACCATCATACGTTTCGTGCTGCCCGTGCAAAATCACATGATCAAAAAGCTGTTGCTCATTTTCTGGGAAATCGTGCCCAAGACCTCCGCCGATGGCAAGCTGCTCCAGGAGATGATACTCGTGTGCGATGCCTATCGCAAGGTAAGCTCAGCATTACCTTTGCCAGAACTGTTTACTTACCGTTTCTCCTCTAGGACTTGCAACATCCGAATGAGTTCTTGCGTGGCTCCACGTTGCGTTTTCTGTGCAAGCTGAAGGAGCCGGAGTTGCTGGAGCCTCTGATGCCGGCCATACGCGCCTGCCTGGATCATCGGCACTCGTACGTGCGCCGCAACGCCGTACTGGCCATTTTCACCATATACAAGAATTTCGACTGGCTGGTGCCCGATGGCCCGGAGCTGATTGCCAACTTCCTTGATACACAGCAGGACATGTCGTGCAAGCGCAACGCCTTCCTCATGCTGCTGCATGCTGACCAAGAGCGTGCCCTCAACTTTCTGGCGTCGTGCATTGATCAGGTGCAGAGCTTCGGCGACATCCTCCAACTGGTCATTGTGGAGCTCATTTACAAGGTGTGCCACGCCAATCCCGCCGAACGCTCGCGCTTTATTCGTTGCATCTACAATCTGCTCAACTCATCCTCGAATGCAGTGCGCTACGAAGCAGCTGGCACACTGATCACACTCTCGCTGGCACCCACCGCCATCAAGGCTGCCGCCGGCTGCTACATCGAGCTGATCGTCAAGGAGAGCGACAACAATGTGAAGCTCATTGTGCTGGACCGTCTGATTGCCATGAAGGAGAACGAGAACATGGAGAAGGTCATGCAGGACCTGGTGATGGACGTGCTGCGCGTTCTGGCCGCCCCGGACATCGAGGTGCGCCGCAAGACCCTGGCTCTGGCCATGGACTTGGTCTACTCGCGTAACATCAACGAAATGATCCAAGTGCTGCAGAAGGAGGTGGCCAAGACGCACAACGTGGAGCACGAGGACACGGGCAAATATCGCCAGCTGTTGGTGCGCACCCTGCACACCTGCTCCATCAAGTTCCCGGATGTGGCCAGCAGTGTGATCCCCGTGCTGGTGGAATTCCTCTCCGACACCAACGAACTGGCCGCCGTCGATGTGCTGATCTTTATACGCGAAGCCATACAAAAGTTCCCGGCTCTGCGCGGTCTTATTATCAAGCATCTGATCGAGGCCTTCCCACAAATCAAATCGGCGAAGATCCACCGTGCCGCCGTCTGGATTCTGGGCGAGTATGTGGAAGGTGAACAGATTCCCGAGGTTATTGCGGCCATACAGCAGACTCTCGGCGAAATACCCATGGTCGATGCCGAGCAGCGTCGCCTCGCCGGCGACCAGACCGAGGAGCAGCTGCAGCAGCAGCAACAACAAGGCACAGCCGGCGGTGGTGAACAGACAACAAACAGCACTAATAAGGTCACATCCGATGGCACCTATGCCACACAGAGCGCCTACAGCCTGGCACCGTAAGTAACCGAATCAATTCAGATTTATATCAGCCATCCTTATCGTTTGCCTCTTTTCCTGCAGCGTAACCAAGAAGGAGAAGCGACCACCACTGCGTCAATATTTGATGGATGGGGATTTCTTCTTTGGCGCCGCCCTATCCGCCACGTTGACCAAACTGGCGTTGCGCTACGTGGAGCTGGTGACGGATGCGCGCACAGTGAACCGTCTCACCACACAGGTCATGCTCATTATGAGCTCCATCTTGCATCTGGGCAAGTCTGGCTTCCCCACCAAGCCGATTACATACGATGATTCGGATCGCATCATGCTCTGCCTGCGCACGCTTAGCGAGCGCACGCCGGAGGCTGTTGGCGTCTTTTTGCACGACTGCCGGGACGCACTCAGCAAGATGCTGGATGCCCAAACGGAGGAGGATCAGCGAATGCTGAAGGAGAAGCAGCGCGCCACGGCCAAGGTTCAGCCTGATTCGCCGGTGCTGTTTGCCCAGCTCTCCAATGGACGCGACAATCAGTTGGGCGAGAACGTATTCGAGTCCAGCCTGAATCAGGCATTGGCCGGCACCAAGACAGCCCAAATCAGCGACATGTCCTCGCCTAACAATAAGCTTAACAAGGTCACTCAGCTAACTGGCTTCTCCGATCCGGTCTATGCCGAGGCCTACGTCAATGTCAACCAGTACGACATCGTCTTGGACGTCTTGATTGTGAACCAAACAAGTAAGACGATCTCCTAACTGAAACCTTTTTAAAAGACAGGCTTCAATAATCTGGCTATATTCCAGATGATACGCTGCAGAACTGCACATTGGAGTTGGCGACATTGGGTGATCTGAAGTTAGTGGAGCGTCCGCATCCGGTGGTGCTGGCGCCTCACGATTTCTGCAACATCAAGGCCAACGTGAAGGTCTCCTCCACAGAGAATGGTATCATCTTTGGCAACATAGGTAAGTAACGTAGGAATGATTCGTTTACGTCCTTTACTGATTACTGATTCCACATCGAGCAGTATACGACACGGCGCTGAACACCAACGTCGTGGTACTCAATACCATACACATTGACATCATGGATTATATCATTCCGGCCAGCTGCACGGACACCGAGTTCCGTCAGATGTGGCAGGACTTTGAGTGGGAGAACAAGGTAACCGTCAACACCAGCTTCACCGATCTGCACGAGTACCTCAAGCACCTGTTGAAGAGCACCAACATGAAGTGCCTGACGCCCGAGAAGGCGCTCTCCGGCCAATGTGGCTTCATGGCCGCCAATATGTATGCCAAGTACGAATCGCATTGCTTCTCACTCTATTCCTGTCCAGTCTAACGATTCGCATTCTAACAGGTCCATCTTTGGGGAGAACGCTCTTGCTAATCTGAGCATTGAGAAGCCTGTCGATGATCCCGACTCGAAAGTTACTGGCCACATACGTATTCGCGCCAAGAGCCAGGTAAGTGTAGAGCCTCCAGCATATTTCTCACATTTTTATGTTTCTTTTTTCTTTCAGGGCATGGCACTTAGCTTGGGCGATAAGATTAGCTCCTCACAGAAGCAATCGGTGCAGGCCGCCTAGTTAATCAGCAGCAATATAAGCAACAGCAGGAGCCAGCACAAGAAATTCAAGCTTATTTAAGAGGTGGCCGAGCCGCGGCCTGCATTCCGCCTGATTTTGAATAAAAGCAGACCACAACAGCCTATTACATACATATTATGATTATGCATGCATTATATACTTATTTAATAAAGTTAATCGCCCCAAATTGAACTCCGACTTTTCATTCGACTTGCATTGTGCGACAGAGACAGGAGATACATGAAAACGCAATTCATTGTGAAATTAGAGCGAGACAGCAAATGACGAAATGCTTTCATACACAGCTATCTATACACAGAGTATCTATGTATGTATATGATTTGGCTGATTTTGGATTTTATCATTGCTAAATTGTAATTATTGACGTGCTATTCAATAATTTATAGATAAAATGCTGTGGGCAATTTCCATTTCAACATTTTTCACATGTGTCACGTCAGCTAATTAAAACAGCTTAACTGAACTGCAACAAATTATAATATAATACTAGCCACGAAGCTTCGTCCACTAAATTGAGTGTAAATTCATGCTATTTTATTAATTTATCTAAATAGAATAATGTGTATTTATTTACTGCAGTTAAATTTGAAATTTCGATTGCCATACCTAAACCGCGCCTGGCCAACTATCGATACTATCGCACACATCGATACATGCTTTAGCAATTGTTGTTGATACATCGTGCTTTGACAGGTCCAGCGCTAGCCGCTGACGTGTTTCAAGCAATACAAAAACACGAATCCATTTACCCTCACACAACATAGCTCCGTAAATTTATCGGGCGATGTACAAAATTACGATTTCGCCAACTAAATAACATCACAGTCATTTGGGTAAGGATACAAAATTTGGACACAGTGTGCAGGGCTACCTATTTCAACAATCACACAGTTATCAGTATTTCAGAGTCCAAATGAAAGTTGCCAATTTCAAAGCAACAACCAAAAACAACAACTGATTCCAACGGACACAGCGGCCAAAAGTGGGGAGTAGCGGCCGCGGCAACACCAAACGAAGTGGAAAGCCAGCCGCACTAAACTGTAGCCGTGGCCACAGTCGCGCATTAACCTACACACAGACACACACACACACACAAACATTTCCAATTGATCCAATTGATATTGTCCCAGTCCCAGAGAGCAAAGGACATAGGCTAAGCGATGGCGCTGCTGACGATGATTGCCCGGGTCATTGATGGTCTGCCATTGGTGGGCACCATGCAGGACGACGAGCAGGTACGTTACTCACACACACACACGTATATACACATATACATTTTTATAAAACCATAACACTTTCACTTTTTGTGCATTAGAGCGGTCGCAGTATCTTGGATTATCAAAATCAAGCGAAAATGCTTTTTCGCAAGTTGGGCACACATTCGCCAGCGCGCAGCAGCATCGAAACAGGACCATATTTATTTCAGTAAGTTGAGAATGTTGAAATATGTGCCCACATTGAATCATCGTTTGATTTAATCGCCTTGACTTGACTTGACTTCGCACCCGCACAGCTATCTTATCGAGAACGATGTTTGCTACTTGGTGATGGTTGATAAAATGTATTCGAAGCGCTTGGCATTCAACTATCTGGAGGATCTGGCACAGGAGTTTCATACAAACTACGGGCGGCGTGTCAATTCGGTGACACGCCCCTACGCCTTCATCGAGTTCGACGTGTACATACAGAAGGCGAAAAAGCAACTGACAGATCGCAGACGCAACATAAGCAACATCAACACTCAGCTGCAGGATGTGCAGCGCATAATGGTCCAGAACATTGACGATGTACTGCAACGTGGCACTGTTTTGGCGGGTGCGTATAGAGAATGATGCGATCAGTCGTTTGAATAAATCTAATACCTCACGCTTATCTCTTGCAGAGCTGGACACTAAAACACAAAACTTATCAATGATGTCGCAGAAGTATAAGAAGGATGCCAAATTACTAAATCGCAAATCAATGTACGTCCAGGCGGCCGCCGTGGGCACTCTATTTCTAGTGTTCATACTTTACTTTTGGGTTTTGTAATATATGTACGTACGTTAGTCGCACTAGATGTTAGTTGTCAATATGATATAATGTATGTATGGGTCGTTCGGGCGGCACGCTTTCATCTTTGTTGTGTGCCGCTGGCATCGTTGCTTTCAACACGTCATAGACGACGAGCAGCGGAGCAGCCGTGGCGCCAACTGTGTGCTGCTTATTTCAAAGGCCAAAAGACATTTCAATATTTAATATAGTACTTGTATAACAACAACAAGAGCAGCAGCTGCAGCAGCAACAGCAACAACAACCTAGATAATAATAACCACTGAATTGGGGGCACATCATTTTGACACGCTGACCCGCTGCTTGCTTCAATTTATACCTTGCGTTGTGGGTTTAAACTACCTTTTATTTCCAAAACATACACATGCGAATACTGAGACACACACACACACACACACATACACACCCAAAGAGAGGCGAGCAACAGCTCCATAAAACGGCGATAATATACTGACTACTGATTATGACACATGTTCATATATTTAATTGGCTTGCTTAACATCATTATCTGGCATGCAGTAGCGAGAAAGAGAAAGGGAGAGAGAGAGGGAGTGAGAGTAATGGACAAAATTAGTTATATAGACTGTATTTATCTGTTTATGGAGCCGGCCCACAGGCCAAGAAAACTTTTGTAAATTATCGTAAGCCCAAACAAATGTGTGTATAAATAGCTTGTATATGATGCTAATCATCACTATGACTAATGATGGATATCAATAAAATACAAAATTAGGCAATTTCAAATAAATTATTGAACAATTAAATCAATCCGAGTTCATAAACCAAACGCGAAGTTATTCTTTAAGCATATACTCGTTCGTATTACCCATACCGAGTTCCATTCCCGAGATTAAAACTTCAAGTTAGATTTAAATGATTAATTTTTCCTTTATATATATATAGATATATATTTATTTCCTTTCATTTGGAGTGTTGATATATTCGCCTATTCCTTGCCATATCTGCGCTGACAAATGTTTATGCATGTATATTTATATATACTAGTTGAATGTCGCCTCTTGTTTGTTGTTGCTTTTTGTTCTTTTTTATTTTTGCGATTTTGCATATAAATTTTTAATATCAAATTTTTACAATTAGGAAAAAAATGCGCTGTTGCCATTTACACAGTTATATAATGCTTGTATAATTTTCATTCGTTAAATATATGTATATATGTGTTTGTGTGTGTGTGTGTATACGTGTATATAGTATATATGATATATTATAAGTTGTTTCGAAACAAAAGAGAACAGAGAAAAAAAGGAAAACATGAAACGATATTCGAAAGTGCTTTGACAAATACTTAGTAAAAACGGCCAATCGACAGGGAGCAGCTGTTGGAGTGCTATTTGGTGTTAATTTATTGTTTTACAGCGATTTTCTTGTGTGTATTTTCATTGTTTTCGTTAGTGTATAGCTTACTAGGAAAATTGGTTTTTACTACTACAATATATAAATCTCAATATTTTGTATACAATAAATGTTTGTTGTTGTTTTCATTCGAATTTGTGTCTTGTTTCTTTAGACGTTTCCTTTGTATAAATTACTAAGGAACGTTTCTATGTTGTATATCAATTGGAATTTCTATTTTCGCTTAAGTTTCATAGGTTTTTTCTCACTAGAAGCTCTGGCTGTGTTCGGTTGGCTATTCTTGTTGTTTGGTTTTTTACTCTTTTACTTATATAAATATTTGTATTTAATTTCATTTCTTTTGATTTGTTAACATTTGAATAAAAAACCTACTTTGCTGTGAAATGAGCTGATTTCAAAAATACTTTATGCAAATCAGGAATCGTAAAATGATGATATTTCAAACATAAAACATGGATATGATATACATGTACATATAAATATTCAATACAAACACTTCCCTTCGCATCGTAACTATGCAGACAACATTAATATATCAAGTGCTCTCTCTAGAAGCCATAATGATAATGTCTAGTCTCTATGCCATCTATGCCTATGCTCTACGTTATCTAATTCCTCAATTACTTTCGTTTATCATTAAAAAAAAAAAAAATTGTGAAAAAAAAAACATATTTTAATAAAAAAAATTGTATCCTATGTCTGGACATGAAAAACACTATACAAAATATGGTTATACAATTGTTAATTCTTCCACACTGTTGCTCTAGGGTAAACCCTAATGCAAATTATTGCGATTTCAGCATAATTTTGTTGTTGTTGTTGTTTTTGGCTTGTTTCATTATCTTGGTTTTGTTCTCTACATCTTCTTCTTCATCATCTACATTCAAAAGGCAGTTTTTGAGCATGGAGGGACAAAGTGAGATTCATGACGAAGCATTAATTAGCAAGAATATCGGATATATCTATATATATATGTATATATGAGTGTACATATATAAAGGTGTGTACTATATGTACAATACGAGTATACATAGGTGAGAGAGTAAAGTAGTGAAAACGAATAGAACAAGAAGACGGTGCTGAAACGCGATTTGCACAAACTGCTGTACAAAAGAAAATCACAAAAGAAAATTCGTTGAAGAGACATACAGAATGAATATATATATACGTATATATATATATGTGTATGCATATACATATGTATGTATATGCATGTATAGTATATGTTTGTACCTGGCGTGGGGTACGACTTAAGACTATTCAAAAAAAAAAGTTCTGTTTACAATATACGCTTGTATGGGCTTTAGAGTACGAGTACCGTTATTAGCTTAGCTTAGGAAAGAACGTTCTTGTTTAGTGTTGAGAAGCGCGCAAAGTACAGTTGGTGGCACGGACTGCACGGCGTTGCCTAGATATACGTGTGTGTATATACTATATGCTGCATATATCTACTTATAGATGCATCTCCTCTGTCTGCCTTATTTATGCACTTCTGTACACGCCCCGCCCCTGGGCGCAGCTCACTTGATGCGCTGATGATCCGGCGTGCTCTTCAGTATATCCGGCTGATGCGGATGATGATGGTGATGCTGATGATGGCTGCCGCCCGACTGCGAGTTGAGCGTGCCCTGGTGGCTGCCACCACCAGTGGCGGCACCGCCAGCACCGCCCGCATGGTGCGAGCTGCTGAGCGTGTGCGAGTGCGTCGAGTTAAGCGTGTGGGTGGCGTGCGAGTTGAGCGTGTTGTGGGCCGTGGTGGTGGCATTTGTGGAGAAGCCAGTGATGCTGCCAGCTGCGCCGACGGCAGTGAGGCCCGGGACGCCACCGACGCCGCCAACACCGACGCCCGGCCGCTGCGAGGTGCGCAGCGAGCGATGCGAGCCGTTGCGCGTGAGCGAATTCATTTGCGGTGTGCCCGGCACGGTGTGGCCCAGCGCATTCATGTAGTCCGCAATGAGCAGCGTTATCTCCAAGATCTTCGGCTTGCTCATGGCGAAGAGCAGCTTCTGCTCGCAGCCGCCGGCCAGGGTGCCGTCGTCGTGCGAGACGACCAGCATGAAGTCGTCCTGGCAGCCACCGAATGTCATCACCGTGCTGTACGGATAGCGCGCCACGGGCGCCATCGTCGACAGCTCGAGCACGTTGAGCGCATCCTCGGCGACGGCCAGCCAGGCGACGGGCGTGCCGGCAGTGGTGTGCGGCTCGCACTGGCGCGGCTTCGCCTGGAACAGGCAGGCGCCGAAGTAGGGCCACTTGCGGCAGCAGGTCAAATAGATGCGCACGCAGTCCAGCGTCGAGCGGCCCTTGAGCAGCGTCCACTTGGATATGAGCAGCTCCTGCACATCCTTCAGCTGGTCGGCGCCGAGTGCGTCCCGATAGCGATAGGGATAGAACTTGTCCAGCGCCTTGAGGCCCACGTCGCGCGACTTCTCGTGCGAGTAGTCGCCCATGTCGATCTGCGACATCAGCGAGGCCAGCTCCAGGGCCAGCTCTCGCGAGAGCGGGAACCGTCCCTGCACGATCTGCGCATTGGTCTGGTAGCAGAGCAGCAGCCGCTCCTTGTCCGTCTCGCACTTGATGGTGTGCTTCCAGTAGAGCCGGTTCTTGTAGCTCAGCTGGATGACGCGCGAGTTCTCGAACTTGCCGGAGCCCTTCTCACGCAGCGCCGTCTCCCACTTGCTGATCACATCGCACAGCTTGGCCAGCGGCTCCAGATAGTGCTCCAAATCCTTTTCGATCGGATCATCGCTGAACAGACAGAAGCCGTTGTTGGCATCGCGAGTGCCCAGCTCCTGGGCCAATGTTGTTTGGAATTCCTCGATGGTGGTAGAGCCGTCAAAGGAAACCACCTGCAAAATTTAAGATGACAAATGTTCAGCATTTCGTTAAGATCTAGTTCCTCTATACCATTTCAATATATCCATTATGTATCTATAGTCTACATAAAACCCTCAACTCAATCTAAGGAATTCTTACGAGCTGAACGAGTGTTCTTATGAACAAGTTCACAAGGAGGTCCTTAACTATAAAGACTTATTGTATCTATAAACTGCTGTGGGAACTGGCTGCAACAAGATTTTATGAACTAGTGAACTGGTTCACACAAATAGTTTCCCATTCAAAAATGATCTACGATGAGCTATTCCAGGTTCGTCAACCTCACATGGATGAGGTTAAAACAAACTGCCTATGCTTATTCCAAAGAGCTGCTCACCCAATTGGCGAACTAGTTCATTATGCTGGCTTACCTGATACGTGGCGTTCATCATGTGAACGGGTATGGCGTGCGGCAGGGAGTGATGATATGGATTCTTCAGCAATATGGATAGCACCTCCATGCGCGATGGCTTCGTTTCGCGCCCCCCATTCTTCAGGGTGCGCTCCAGGGCGCGCTCACAGTAGGCGGCATATTTGCCCGTTTCCGTTTTGGTGTCCGCGTTGCGGGACAAGTGCAGCTTGAGATACCACAGCAGGCGACTGGACTTGGGCACAAACAGGGAGACGGCCAGTGCGAGCAGCTGCCAGCCCTGAACAAAGCTGTAGGCGGGCGGATTTGACTTGCAGTCGATGATGGGCGTCGAGACGGGCGCCTGCTCCAGTGTAAAAGCGCGAAAGCAGAGAGATAAAGAGAGAGGGAACAGATGGAGAATCAGTTGAATGAGATGGGCATAAATGAGGCAGAAGTCTGGGTTAGGCAACTCTACACTTGACTACAGTAACTGAAAGCAATCGTTTAACAAATCGTTTATCGCATATTTATCGTATATCGATTATTGAGTGACAAGACAAATTTCCCCTCATACCTGTATCGATGTGGGCGAACTGCCGTTGGCCTGAGCCTGGCCAGCCTGTTGGGTATCACAGGTGAACAGGCTTTGGGTGGCGCACAATAGTAGTTGCTGTAAATTTCGTCGTCGTTGTCGTCAATAATTGGTTACGTACAGTGTTGGAAAACGGTTGGTATTTTTCGGTATTTGCGGTTATCGGTTAACGGTAATGGATTCATTGGTTCGACACACATACAAACGAAACGAAAATCGTTTCACAACCAAAAACAAACCAAACATAATAGAAGAATAGAAGAGAAGCCAAAAAACATTTGCTGATCAATTTTTTTTGCCATTAAACGAGGTTCATGTTTCTTTTGTCGTGTATTTTTTTTTTCTTTTTTTTTTTTTTTGCAGAGTATCCTTAATGTATATGTATGACACGCTATACAAAAATCGTTCTCTTTGTTGTTGTTGTTGTTTTCTTGTTTTTTGTAAAAAGCGTAACGGGCAACAGAAATGTATAAACTCTATGCGAAACATTCAAAGCCATTGAAAAAATATAATCAAAGCAGTAAACTGAACAAATTGAACAAAGGGGCGAAACATAAACGAGTTAGAAAACGCTTTAGATCAGGGAAATAGAAGGCAGTTACAAGTGTAAAGCGCGCTTATGCGTGGCCAACTTAAGCGTGATTCGATAAGAATCGATAGCACACGATCGGCAAAGTTGTTAGCACGTATGAGCGAGCTGAATTAGATACAGAGAGATGGAATGAGTCTGTGTAGGAAAGAGAGAGAGAGACAAAGAGAGAGAGAGAGAGAGACAGACAGACAAAGAGAGAGAGAGAGATAGATATAGGGGGGAAGACAGACAGGCAGTCTACAGGCAGTAGCCTATAACTATACTGCGTGTAAGAGTTTGAACTTTCATTAATTTTGTCTGTATTGAATGATTACGGATTACCAATCAAAACCTAGGAGAGGGTATTAGAGTGTTCCTTGAATGGTTTTTGTAGCTTAAATATGTGAAGGACTCAGCATGTTCATTTAGTCTTGACTTCAAACGCTTATCATAATTCCAAATAACTATCGAAGTATTCTGTCAGTTGAGACAAACCAGTTTAAAAGTTTTTAAAATTGAATTTCTTAAAGATCTTAAAGAAATCATCCATCTCATAGAGATTTTTCTTACATAAAGCTTAAAGCAATTGTCTTTAATTTATATAGTGTTTAAAGATCAGACAACATTCAATAAGGAACTGAATGCTTCGGCCAGCCGAAGATGCAGTTTTCTAACTGGTTTTCTGGAAAAGAGTACGTATTCATGTATTTGTATGTATGTATGTATGTATGTTTGTATGTATGTTGGTTTTCAAGTGAAGTGTGTTTGTAGAGTATGTTAGAAATTTACAGCAAATACTTTATACAGTGATAACGAATCAACAGTAATTAGATCAAACTAAACACATGGAAACAATTTTCATAGTGTTGGTTTTGTCTTGAAAGCTAAATATGTATAAGTACTTGAGCATGTATGTGGTTATGTGTACACATACATATAGTTGAGTATAGATATAGTATGACAGTTATGGGGGAAATTTATTGTCTGTTCAACTACTTGAAATACAAACGAAAACAATGCACAAAGAGGGGAAATGACAAGAATAATCGAACAACAATTGGGATCGATAAATATCAATCAGAAACGTGCAGAAAACGAGATACATATGTATGTATATAGAAAAAATAATGCTAAAATGTGTCAATGAGTATGTTAAAGTTAATATGAATGTTAAGGTACATGTTATGTTAATGTTAATGTTAATAGGCATATCTTATAGGTATGTATGTATGTAGGTTAAACGTATTGATTATTCATTATTTCGATCGTAAGCTTTTAAATGTAAGCAAAGCCTTTTGTAGCTGGCCAAATGTTGCCGATGGTTGTACCAAAGCGATGAATTTTTGATAAGCAATTAAAAACAAAGCAGTAGAATACAAAACTTGGGTAGTACTTCACATACGATACCTAGTTGGTTAGACTTTTTCTTTTGGCTAGGTAACGCTTTAAAGAGAGAAGCTTTTCGAAGTCTTTTCTTAATTAGAATGAAGTTATATAACATGATGGGGGATATACATGAGCTTGATTCTTCTGTGGCGACAGTTCAGAATTTGGGAAACATAACGAATCGAGAGCGTAGAGCTTTTATTCCGATGCGGAATAGGAATGATGGAGCCACGTGCGAGTCATGTACACAACAAGTTAGTAACGGGATTAGTTGGGGGAATGTTACGGAAACAATAAGAAAACTAGAAAGTTAACATCTAATTGGGGGGGAGAGTGGGGAGTACAACTAAAAGAGCTTTTTGAATGATAAGAAGCTTTGCAACTGAAAAACTTACGCGCGTTTGCTTGCCCAGTTTCTTGTTTACCTGGACACCGACACTTAGTTTCTGGCCCATATGTCGGGAGGTTTGCTTTATCAGAATACAGATCATTTCGGTCTGCAGCTCCGGCATGTCCAGGCAATGCTGCAGCGCATTTTGGGCGAGCACCACATGGTAATCGATGCCCGGCTGATTGACGGCCACGGACATAAACAGCTGGATGCTCTGTGAGGAATGGGATTTATTACTTTCAAGTGCCAGCGAATCGGGGGAATCGGCAGCTGAGCTTACCTTGAATAGCTTTATAGCCTCCGGCTGCATGGTCTCCGTGTGCATGGAGGATAGGGGAGCTGTGATCGTATCTTTGGTGTGCAGCAATATGGGATGACGCCAGAGCACGCAGTCTAAGGTGTGGCAAATGGATGGCTTTGTGAAACACTCGATCTCAGATGGAGCTGTAGGTATTACTCACTTGGATCACCGTCCGTTTCCATGAGCTTCTGCACCAGCTGCTCGTACTGTGTGCCCGCACTGGGCCCGCCGCCCGAGACGACGGTCAGATGATATAGCCAGTTGTCGCGCTCCGGCTTACCGGACAGAATCAGATACGTGGGGCCCTGGTGGGCCGGGTAGATGGCCACGGTGAGGCGCGCCTGATCCTGTGCGGCATCCTCGCGCTCCTCCGAGTCAGAGTCGGACACGTGCTCGACCTCCTCCACGCGTGCATCACGCATGTTGATTTGACCCAGGGGATTCTGCAGGGAATGAGCCTGATTAGATGGGAACTCACACTTGCTGCTTCCGCACTCACCGTCTCAGCGGGCGCCTTGAAGTAGAGGAACATCTTGCCCAGGAGCACGCACCAGCACTTCTTGGCATGGCCGTTCTTCACCTTGGTCACCCAGCCCTGCACCGTGGGCTTCTGGTCGTCCCGGCTGAGCAGCAATTTGGTGGCATTGCGCCGCTGCACGTTCTGCAGCACGCGTATCCAGTCGTCCATGGTGGCGTGCGAGTCGGCGGTCAGGTAGTAGACCTTCTTGCCCGTGTCTATCTCGAAGGTGGAGGCACCCTCGGCCCGGCTGATGCGGCAGGCCTCGTCCAGCAGGATCTGGCCCTGTGGCTTGCGCTGCACATCGTGCTGGCTCTTCCAGTAGTTGAGCGTGCCGTTCTTCAGGACGAACCAACGCTTGCGCCAGGTCTTCAGTTTGCCACCCAGCTTGGCCAGGTGACCCATCTGAGGGAGAGAGATGTTTAGTATGTTCGCCGATATTGGAGGAAAGCATGCAGTGCTCACCTTCTCTAGCGATTCGAGCTTCTTGCTCGGCGAGTCCACGTACGATTGACGCATCAAGAGCGACGGCATCGAGGCGTCCATGCAGGTCGATTCGGAGACAGCATCGGGGGGCAGGGCGTAGTCGTCGGAGAGGCCTGATTCAAAGGAAAGATCTGAAATTACTGTGCCACGCATGTGAGGGCTCACGCGCAGTTGCGTCAGCTGCGCGCCAGTTGTGGGCGTATGTAGGCGTGGCAGCGTGCTCTGTACATTGTGCACGGGCGCCAGTGCCGGCGCCTGCGGGTGCGGCAGCGTGTGATGATGCTGATAATGGTGTTGTTGCTGTTGCTGTTGTTGTTGCTGTTGTTTTTGTTGTTGTTGGTGTTGCTGTGACTGGTGTGGTGTGGTTAAGCGTGTGTGGACTGTGGTGTGTGTGTGTGTGTGTGTGCGTGTGCGAGTGTGTAGTTAATGGCGGGTGAATGGCAAATGATGGTGGTTAATAGAGTGGTCATTGATGATAACATAAGGAAGCACCACACAATGAGGTGAGGGGAGAGGCGCAAGGAGGGAGATGCAACCAGTTCAAAGTTTGTTAGAATACCCATTGAAAATTAGTCATCAAAGTAGATTATGGAAAGACCCAAAGTATGGGCCTGGAGCAGAGCTAATAGCAAAGCAAGTACTCATGCTACAGGATTTAGGAATACAGGAATAGGCCGAGCAGCACAACAGGAGCAGGATTCTATAGAAAAATGTTAAGTATCTTCAAATTACATAATAAATAATATAGATGCCGCAATTGCATGATATCAAATCAACGCTTATTAAAAAACAAATAAAATAAAATAACTAAAATATAAATATATCTATAAAATTCAAGAAAATATAAAATAATATAATAAAACAAACATAAAATCAAAGGCAATTATCAATAATTATAATATGAATAGAGCACATATTAAAAAAAAAATAATAATTAAATAAATAAAATAAAAATAAAATGAATAAATAAAAAAAAATTTTAAAAAAAATTTAAAAAAAAAATAAAATATATAAATAACTTCACATATATTCAACGGAATTAATATATAAAAAAAAGAATAAAAATAATTAAATATTAAATCAAAGAAAAACATCCAATTGCCTGATATAAATTCATTAAAATAGTAAATACATAAATAATATGAAAAAAAAAACTTAACTTACATTTAAGGGAACAAAAAAAAAAAAAATAAAGTAACTTAACATACAAATAAAGGAAATTATGGAAATATAAATATATATGTAAATATATTTGAAGTGTTGATAAAAAAATAAATAAATTCAATACATGTAAGCAAATGCAAGTTAATAAAAAAAATCATACTTTTTTTTTATAATTAAAATTATTGTTTCTTTAGCTTGTGTGTGTTAGTGTTTGGAGTTGGAGTTTCAGTGTGGTTGTTGGGTTAGTGCTGTTGCTGTTGGTGTTGCAGTGGTTCAATGCTCAGATACCGCTACCGCTACCTTTACGCTTTACTGGTTTTACTGGGCGCGTGCGAGGAGAGAAGAAGAAGAATATGTCTCTAGGGGTGGGTCTTGATCGGTACATACCACGCGCCTTGACATTCTTGGGGCTCTCGGAGCCGCTGCGCTTGGCTGGACTCAGGCTCGATGAGGTCTTCAGACTCTTCGATGGACTCGACGCGCTGCCAGACGTGGAGGTCTCCGTATTATCTGTGCTGGACGAGTTGTGCGAGTTGTGTGTCAGCATGACGGCATGATCCTCGCCATCGCTGGAGTCGTCGCTCGAGTCGCCCGTGAAGGGCATCGAGCGTATTTGTGAGGCACGCCCCTTCACCGTGGCATAGACGGGCACGGATATATCACAGAAGCCGCCGCTGGCGGTTTGTTGCTGTCGCGTCGGTGGCTGGGGCGTGCCCGGCGTGCCGCTGCTGCCCAGCGTACCGTTCGCATCGTGGCCAGGGCCATGGCCGTGCCTTGGGGCGGTGCCACGCCCATTCGATAGGGTCAAACTGTGCTCCTGCACATCCGGCGTCGGCTCATTGCTGGCATTGCTCTCGGCGGTGCTGGTGCCAGCGAGTCCGTCGTTGGCCACCTGATAGATCTTCGCCTCCCAGCTGGGGAAGCGATGCAGCGGCGGCGTCGGCGGCCTGGGCACGCCCAGTTCGCTGGTGGTGGTCGTTGTGGTGCTCGAGTTGCCCCCACTGGCCATCAGCGCCGGATTGTTCTTCATCCAGGCGGGCAGCTTCTCGCACGAGGGCGTATAGATCTCGGCATAGTCGTGCGCCGTGTCCGTGTCGGAGCTGTCCGGCCGTGTGCTGGCCGTGGCCGTCTGCGCCGCCTTGCTGGAGATGCTCGACAGCGGCGCCAGGGTGAGCCCATCAACGGCCGCGACCAGGTTGCGTTCCAGCTCCTGCGGCTCCATGGAGAGATTGCGTCGATGCTGATGATGTGGATAGGAGCTGGTCAATGGCCGGCTGATGATCTCCTGCGGGTCGAGGCTCTCGCTGCGTCGTCGCGTTTCCGGCGTGCTCGCAAAGTCCTGCACGTCCAGGCTCAGGCTATTCCTCACCGGCCCGACAATGCTGTGGCGCTGCGACTGATTGGCTATGTGATTCTTGAGCAGCTCCAGCTGCTGGTTGCACTTGATGTTCTGTTCGCGCAACAGTTGATTTTGCTCCTCGAGATCGCGCAGCTTGTTGTTCACCCACTCCTTGATCTTGGCGGCCTTGGCCTCGATCTGGCGTGCGTCGTGCAGGCGCAGCTGTCGTTGCTCCTCCACCTGTATCTCCAGTGAGTTAATTGTCTTCTCCGCCTCGTTGCTGGGCAGGCACACACCCACGCCCACGCCTACGGCCACGCCTGTTGTGCCTGTGACGCTCTGTTGGCAGGCAGCGGCCAAGGCTGCAGCGGCAATCGCCTGTTGCTGCTGCTGTTGCTGCTGTTGATGTATGGGCGAGCTGGTGGCAGTGCCCTGCTGCGACTGTTGCTGCTGCTGTTGTTGTTGTTGTTGTTGTTGTTGCTGTTGTGCTTGGGGCTTTGGCCATTCACTGAGCCGCTGCTCCATAGCACGCACCTGCAAGTAATCAAGAGTGAGAAAGGACATGGTTAGCAATGGCTTGACTTTGATGTAACCCACAGCCCACTCCACCCTCTTAAAAAGGGGAAAAACTTGGCAGACAGCTCTCGTATGTCTTTAGAAAATTCAATTAAATTTGCACTAAGCTGCGGCTGTAAAACGAAACGTCCTCTAGCCAGGACTAATGCTTACGTATGACCTGCTCCCAAAGCAGAAACTTGGCTAAGTAGTTGGCAGCAGTTGGCTCAAGTTAATGGCAAATGGAAAAAGTTCTATTCAGCTGGGGATTGGTTTTTGCGTGAGATTCGTATGTTCAGAGGATAAGGAGACGACTTAAATCTAAGGAATCGGCTGTGGAAGAGAAAGAGTGCGAGCAAAGCGCTTAAGTGCCTAGGAATATTGATCTGAACTCAGCTGAGCTCTCTATAGGTGACTAAAATAACTCTAGAATGTTTAAATAGAGAAAGGTTAAGGCAGTCGCATCGCAAATTACGTTGGATTATTCTCATGTTAAAGCCACATTAAGTTCAATTAGAGCCAGCCTTTGCACAGTCCTTGCCAGACCGACGCGTAAGGACGTGCAACTAGTTATAGCGCATAAGCTCATGTGCTTAAGGAGTTGCTCTAGCGGCTGGCCGCTGCTCATAGTCCGGAGTCCCCGGGCCAAGGAACTGTCGAGCGCATTGCTAAATTATGAGGCGCAGTGGCGCAAAAACTTGTGTAATTAAACGCAGACCTTTGGGGCAGACTTAGCACTTGGGCTGTGCTGCAGTTGAGCCAGGCGTGAGAGCAATGCTTGAGTTGAGTTGGACTCGGACTGGGCTGGGATGGCTCAAGCAGGCAGCAATGCGACTGACAGTCAAGAAAAAAAAGGCCCAGCGACAGAGAGAGAGAGTGAGAGAGAGAGAGAGAAAGAGAGTGAAAGAGAGAGAGAGAGGGAGGGGAGGCATCTGAGACAATGGAAAAACAGGACATGTGGCTTACAACTTCAATTCGCACGCCAAGCTGAGCAGCTGCCTCCGGGGCTGGTCACCAAACGAACCGAACTGACAACAAAGGCAAACCCGGAAGCATGCCGACTGCCACTCATGGCCGTGTGGCAAGTGGCAACTGCCTCGCTTCACCTATTGCATTATTAGTTGGCACTTCGGCTGGTGGCGCCACACACAAATGGGTCAATTGCCCAATGTTCAATGCTCGAGATGTCGTGGAACTCCCTGCAAGCGCAATCTCCTCTAATGGCCACGTCAGCCCAGCTCCACTTGCAACTGTCTAATGCAGACTAAGCTCAGCTGCTACATGTTAAAAATAAATGGACTACCGAAAATAACAAGCGGAAGTTCAGGTTATTGGACGCCACGCATATGAAATGCCAAAGTTTATGCCTGACAGGAGCAGGACTCCTTCAATACACACACACACACACACACACACACACACATGTTGGCAGTTACGGGAATAAACAAAATTATGGTCACGCTAAACATATATTTTGAGAAAAAAGCAACGAAACATATGAGAGACCATAAACATACCCTATAAAAGACGTAAGCTCTGCAACTGGTGTCAAGAAATATTACTGTAAGCTCATTAAATACGAAAAAATACCAAAATTTACCTCTGGCATGCCAACAAAAAACTTTTCATCAGCAGCCTGAAGTCTTAATTGTGAAAATCGCATAGTAAGGCTTGCAGTTCATTCTATATATGTATATATTTTACAGTTGTATCTAAATTATTTATTTTGAATAAATTTGAGTCAGCATTTATTTATTACAAAAAAAAATTTTTTTATCAATTAATAAATATATAAAAAAAAATAATAAATCAAGAATAATAATAAAATCGCAATATATTCGAATATATAAATATATATATAATAAAATATATAATAAAATAAAAAATATATAATAAAATAAAATAAAATTTCTATATACAAATACATATGTAAAAAAAAACCCCTAATACACATATTTTATAGCATTATTAAAGATTTATAGCCACATATATATATATACGTTTTAATAAATGTGACCTAGCAAACTTCCATTTAATATAAATATTAAGGCATTATATTCAACTATCTATATATATTTTATAGTATTTTTTAGAGCTTCATAACCACACATACACTCTTCAATAAATGTAAACATCTCTATATAAATAATTCAGCTAAATTTGGCATCATATTCTCCTATAAATATTTTATAGTACTATTTACAGCATTAGAGACTTTTAGCCACGTTTATACTTTAATATAAAAGTTGAGCAGCAAACTTCCATTTCATATGAAAATCTGTATAAAAACAATTGAAAATTTCTTTTCAAACAGCTTAATGGCTTCTGCTCGAGGCTAAAAGCCTTGGCTGCTCTCGCATGCAAACTAACTAACTGGGCAAACTATTTGCGAGGCAAAAGTTAAAGTATTTATGGCAACACTTTGCCAAAGTCGGCAACTTTTGCTGAACACAGGAGGGCGGAGGGGAGGGGTAGCACTGAGCGCCGCGAATCGTGGCATTAACTGAGCCCAAATACCAAATAGTTTCGGTTTACAGTTTCTGGCCAAAAACTTGTGCCATAAAATTTGATGGCGATTGAAAGTAGGAAAGAAAAAAACAAATGGAAACAGACTAGTGCGGCGCTTAATTTCTTGTTTTTCTTTCGGCTTAACCATGGATGCCAGCCACTGCCCGAGCAACTCGAGCTCGAGTGATAACCATATGCGGAACTAAAGTTGGAGAAGTTTTGCATTTGCTGTTGGCATTGGATGCATTTAGGCGTGCGAAAAACTTCTGAAGCCCTGCCAAAAGAACAAATAGCAATAGAAACTTGGAAAGCAGGAGGGGCAAACGGGGGAGCCGAGCTTTGTTGACTTTATCTCAGTTAGCAGCAGGAGCTGTCGCGTCGCTTGTGGCAAGCGAATGTTAGATATGAAAATAAATCTGCGCTCTGTCAGTTCAAGCAAATCCGGCAATTTGCGCCATTTGATTAGATTTTCTTGAATGTGCATGTGTAAGTATGCATGCGTGTGTGTGTGTGCATATAAAGGACTCTAAAGTCCTGTGCAGCTGTTGAGTCTCATAAAGTTAACTACACACTCAGACTTTGGCCCCACAACTTGCCCTAGGTCTGCGCCGGATGAGGAGACTGAGAATGGACTGAGAATGAAGGGGGTTTTACACGCTTTACGGCTGAGCGCAGCTGCAACTGTCAGGCGCAGCAAAAATATATAAAATATTGGAAAAATTGGAAACAATTCGATTTTTATTGCGCTACGACATTTTTATTGCTCACTACTAGCCAAAATCCACGATAGAAATGGGAGTGGGTGTGGCAGGCTGGGCGCATGGCTATGCTACGGCGACTACTAAGTGCTGCCAGATGCCCGACTAGCTGCCAACGACGAGTCGTCGTCTGCCCACTTAACATAAATCTCGTCTGCCAGAGTCGCCTGCCGCTTGCATTAACTGCAAAACCCAAAATCCTAGACAATAATTTGCCTGAACGCACAATCGGATTATGGGAACTAAGAAGACGAGAATGCGAGCAGAGAACGAATACCCTGTAGGAGCGTAAGAACTGGTTGGGCCAACTAAAGTTGAGTATAATATTTCAGTTTAGTATACCGACTTTATGTATACATATATAACATATAGACAGACCCATCTTATATATACATCTAAAAAGTAAACTTGCATTATTTATGATATATCATTGTTTTAGAACCAAACCCGTAATCAAACCCTCGCTGGGTTCAAGTAGTGTATGCTCAGATTTCTTCATTTTACAGGGTAGCTAAAAACCAAAATATAAAATAGACAATTTCCAAAAAAAAAAAAGAGAGAACAGAGAAAAACACATTAAAGATGAATGAGTTGAGAAATGAATATATTATATATACTTATCTTCGGTTATGCTTGGATGCACTTGCCCGGATCCCCCAAGCATTTGAATACAAATTTAGATTTGAATTTTTAATGCGTTTTTGTCGGGGGACACGTTCGGCAATGCCAAGGATGGAAATAATCATGCCCATTCAAAGACATCAAATAGTCGGAAACGCAAATGAAAAATGGGAAAATTGTGAGGAAAAACTATTCAATGCACTCGTTCACTCTGTTATCCACAGTTGGACTGGGACCGACTCACTGAGTGGGTGAGTGGTGGGGTGGTGGGGTGGTGGGCTGGTTGGGTGAGTGAGCTGTTAAAGAGCCTGTCTACTCGCGAGCATCCCTCTGGCCCCCACTTCCGCCCGCACTCTCTAGGCAGTCGGCACGGCATTCCAATTTTTGTGGCAGCTCCCATTCGGTTGCCAAGCATGAATCCTGCTTTTATTACTAAATGAGCAGACGCAATTAAGTGGCGTAGGTTGTGTCCGCCCGAAGGGTTGACTGCCAGCCGATGGCGGGGGAGGCAGGGCCATGGTGTTACTAGCGGCAGATGACTAACGACAACGGGCCATAATGCTCGGTCGCTCCACTGGGCGCCCAGCAAGTGACTTTTTATGGAAAATGTGTGTAAGCGGAAGGCCAGAGGGAGCTTGGGCATCATACTGGGTAACCAGGGGTGCGTCAGACGGGGCTGGGGGTGCTTTGATAGAGCACGAGCTGGCATAGTGCGTCCCTCTGCGGTGACTCAGTTGCGGGGTATGCGAATTATGTGCGGGCACGGCGACTCTATTCACATTTAAATTGCTGTCATAGCACATGATTAATTAATTTGTAATGAGCGCTAATATGGACGCTAGATGGCGCCACACTCGGGCTCAGCTACACGCGGGATTGAAGTGGTACGTAGACAGCTCTAGTTGAAATTTATTTACACACATTTGAGAGAGTCTGAAATGTAGCATGAAACTGGAGTAGAAGCTACGACTGCAAAGCGAATCGATTCACCTTGGATGGAATAATGCAAGCTTCATGTTGTTCAAGGGAATTTTTTTATTGAATGAAAGTATTGTGTTATACGTATAAAATATACTGGATAAATGATATCCGATCTGAAATCTAGTTCGCTTTTTACTTCAAGTTAATTCGTCACAAATTCTTGTCCTTG